AGATGAGGTCTCCCTCTATTGCCCAGGCTAGAGTATAGTGGCATGATCATAACTCACTCCAGTTTTGAACTCCTGGGCTCAGGCAATCTTCCTGCCTCAGCCTCTCCAGTAACTGGGGCTATAGTCGTGCACCACTCTGCCAAGCTAATTCTGACTGTTTTATGGTGTCTTTGTTCCTAGCTCACTCTTTCTTTCTGGTTTGATTTTTTTATGGTGGTGTGATTTGATGTCTCTTTGTCTTCAGTGTATCTACTAGAGAGTTTTTCTTTGTGGTTACCATAAGGCTTACATGAAACATCTCATAGTTATAACAGTCTGTTGTAAGTTAATAATAACTTAACTTTAGGCTGGGTGTGGTGGCTCACACCTGTATTCCCAGCACTTTGGGAGGCTGAGGTGGAAGGATCGCTTGAGCCCAGAAATTTGAGACCAACCTGGGCAACATAGTGAGACCCTGTCTCCACCAAAACGTTTAAGGATCACTTGAGGTCAGGAGTTTGAAACCAGTCTGGCCACCATGATGAAACTTTGTCTCTACTAAAAATACAAAAAATTAGCCAGATGTGGTGGCAGATGCCTGTAATCCCAGCTACTTGGGAGGCTGAGGCAGGAGAATTGCTTGAACCTGGGAGGCGGAGGTTGCAGCAAACAGAGATTACGCCACTGTACTCCAGCCTGGGAGACAGAGCAAGACTCTGTCTCAAAAAAAAGTTAAACAGGTGTGGTGGTACACATCTAGTTCCAGCTACTCAGGAGGTTGAGGTAGGAGGATCCCTTGAGCCCAGGAGGTTGAGGCTACAGTGAGGACTCTGGCCTGGGCTACAGAGCAAGACCCTGTTTCTCAATAATAATAATAATAGTAATAATAATAATAATAGCTTAACTTTGACCACATACAAAAAGTCTGCACTTTTCCACCCACATTACATTATTGATGTTACAATGTACATCTTTTATATATTGTGCATCTATTAGCAAATGATTGTAGGTTTATTTTTAATACTTTTGTCTTTTTAACTTTTTTTTTTTTTTTTTTTTTTTTTGAGGCAGGGTGTAGCTCTGTCGCCCAGGCTGGAGTGCAGTGGCCGGATCTCAGCTCACTGCAAGCTCCGCCTCCCGGGTTCACGCCATTCTCCGGCCTCAGTCTCCCGAGTAGCTGGGACTACAGGCGCCCGCCACCTCGCCCGGCTAGTTTTTTGTATTTTTTAGTAGAGACGGGGTTTCACCGTGTTAACCAGGATGGTCTCGATCTCTTGACCTCGTGATCCGCCCGTCTCGGCCTCCCAAAGTGCTGGGATTACAGGCTTGAGCCACCGCGCCCGGCTTTTTTTTTTTTTTTTTTTTGAGACAGAGTCTTTCTCTGTCACCCAGGCTGGAGTGCAGTGGCATGATTTCAGCTCGCTGCAACTCAACCTCCCGGGTTCAAGCAGTTCTCTCGCCTCAGCCTCTTGAGTAACTGGGATTACAGGCACATGCTACCTACCCAGCTAATTTTTATATTTTTAGTAGAGACGGGATTTCACCATATTGGTCAGGCTGGTCTCGAACTCGTGACCTCATGATCTGCCCGCCCCAGCCTCCCAAAGTGCTAGGATTACAGGTGTGAGCCACTGTGCCCAACCTTATCTATTAACTTTTATACTAGAGTTAAAAGTGATTTATGCACTATTATTACATTATCAGAGTATTCTGAATATAACTATATTCACACCTTTACAATGAGTTTTATATTTTTATATTGTTAGTGTCCTTTTCTTTCTACTTGAAGAACTCTTTTTGGTGTTTCTTATAAGTTAAATCTAGTGTTGATTTCCTCTCACATCTTTTGTTTGGGATTCAGTGATCAGATTAAATGCCGTATAGCTATCAGAGAAAGATTGTATGATGTATGTTTTTTGTTGTTGTTGTTGTTGTTTTTGAGGCAGAGTCTCACTCTGTCGCCCAGGCTGGAGTGCAGTGGCGTGATCTTGGCTCACTGCAAGCTTCACCTCCCGGGTTCACGCCATTCTCCTGCCTCAGCCTCCAGAGTAGCTGGGACTACAGGTGCCCACCACCTTGCCCGGCTAATTTTTTGTATTTTTAGTAGAGACGGGGTTTCACCGTGTTGGCCAAGATGGTCTCGATCTCCTGACCTCGTGATCCACCTGCCTCAGCCTCCCAAAGTGCTGGGATTACAGGCGTGAGCCACCGTGCCCGGCATGATGTACGTTTTTACCATATCATCTAGTATGATTTCAAACTATCTTCCTTACATAATTCAGAACATTATTCCACAAAACTATTGAGTACCTATTAGTGTCATACACTTGATAGTTTTACAGATGATAAAAACAGTGTTCATTGAGGTTTCATAATTTGTCTGTGGCCTCTCAGCTAGTTAAAAAGTCCAGAATTCAGACCTCTTTTACAACCCTAAAGTCTTCAGTTTTCTCAACCACCTTGCTATACTCATTTTTTCTTTTCATCATATCTCATTTCGTAGTCATTTCTTTCTCTATGGGTAAGTGATAAGAATACTAGCTGAGATCCTGTCCCTCTGTAACGAGACCAAGCTATTTCTTTTAAAAATGTATTTGTATTACATGTATATTATAATAGTTTACAAAGCTGTACCTTCCTTACCCCTCCATTTCCTTGTCTAAGAGTCAGTGACTTTCAAGTCTTCTAGCTATTCTCCCTGACTTTATTTTTTTTTAGGAGTCAAGGGGTCGGGCCCATTCCCCACTTTTGTATGGAAATTCTTTTTTTGTGTGTTGTCTGTTTGTTTGTTTGAGCTGGAGTCTCGCTCTGTTCCCTAGGCTGGAGTGCAGTGGCGTGATCTTGGCTCACTGCAACCTCCACCTCCTGGGTTCAAGCAATTCTCCTGCCTCAGCCTCCTGAGTAGCTGGGATTACAGGCATGCGCTACCACACCCGGCTAATTTTTGTATTTTTAGTAGAGATGGGATTTCACCATTTTGGTCAGGCTGGTCTCAAACTCCTGATGTCGTGATCCACCTGCCTCGGCCTCCCAAAGTGCTGGGATTACAGGCATAATCCACCGTGCCTGGCAGAAATTCTTCCGTGGTATTTACAAACATTAATCCCAATCCTCACAACAGCTGTAAGGGCTATCATTCCTGTTGTATTAGACAGAGAACTCAGGTTTGGAAAGTTGAACTAATTTGCCCAAGAAAACAAAGCTTATAATTATTCAAGTTTGAGTATGAAACGCATGTAACTGAATCTAGTATCTCTGATCTGTCAGTACCACACGATGCCTTCCATTTTACTCTCTCTCCTTTTCTTGAACCTACAAGTGTCTTTTCTGCCCGTCAGTCATCACTACTATAGTGCTCGTGTACTTGTTAAGTCCCCTCTTCTCTTTAACAAAGGCCAGCATCTCAGAATTACAAGACAAACACTATTTTCATCAAACCCCAAACATATATCATATCTGTGCACAAATGAGTCCTACCTACCACGTATACTATGTTCATTCCACACTTGACTTTTCTTAAGCTAGGCTTTTTTCTGGATGGCTACCCTCTAGTTCCTTATCATTTTTTAAAGAGCTCTGGACCTCCAGTTACAGAATCCAGACCAGGGCTATCCAAGAGAACATTCAGTGGTGTTGGAAATGTTTTATATTTGTGATGTTTAGTACAGACTTCCAGTACAAAAGCTACCAGCCAAGTTTGGCAGTTGAACATTGGAAATGTGAATAGTGTGACTGAGAAACTGAATTTTCAAATTCGGCTGTTTATTTCAAAATACAATGCACACTTCACTTAAATTATTTGAAATTTATTATTATTATTATACTTTAAGTTCTAGGGTATATGTGCATAATGTGCAGGTTTGTTACATATGTATACTTGTGATATGTTGGTAGGCTGCACCCATCGACTCGTCAACACCCATCAACTCGTCATTTACATCAGGTATAACTCCCAATGCAATCCCTCCTCCCTTCCCCCTCCCCATAATAGGCCCCGGTGTGTGATGTTCCGCTTCCCAAGTCCAAGTGATCTCATTGTTAATTATTTGAAATTTTAAAAACGACATGTAGCTAGTGGCTACCATGTTAGATAATGCGTATCTAACCAGGGGCTGGCAAACTTTTTCTTGAAAGGCAAGTAGTAAGTATTTTAGGTTTGCAGTTCACACATTCTGTGTCATAACTACTCACTTCTGCCCTTTTAGCGCAAAAGCATCCATAGACAATACGTAACAAGTATGGCTAATAAAACTTCATTTATAAAAATCGGTGCGGGGCCATAGGCCATAGTTTACTGATCCCTGGGAATTTTCCATTAGGCGTATTCATTTCATCCTAACAATAGCCTGTTAACAGTGTGATTGATTATTTATTTATTTATTGAGACAGAGACTCACTCTGTCGCCCAGGCTGGAGTGCAGTGGCGCAGTATTGGCTCACTGCAACCTTTGCCTCCAGGGTTCAAGCAATTCTCATGCCTTAGCCTCCCCAGTAGCTGGGATTACAGGCGCATGCCACCATGCCCAGCCCATTTTTATATTTTTAGTAGAGACAGGTTTCACCATGTTGGCCAGGCTGATCTCAAACTCCTGACTTCAAGTGTTCTGCCTGCCTCACCCACCCAAGGTGCTGGGATTACAGGTATGAGCCACCATGCCTGGCCATTTCCCTTATTTTACAATTAATACTGTGGGATGCTATTATATGTCCTGTGTGTGTATATGCAATGAGACATTTTGTGTGTGTATGATTAGAGTCATCCTTTAACAAGGGAGACAGGACTAAGGCATGTGTGTATTTAGCAAGCTTCCCAAAGTAATCCTGATCTATAGCAATGTTTGGGAAGCAGTGACTCATTTTGTTTTCCTAATCACTACCCTCATCTTATTATGTCACCTGTCTTCTCTTTTTTCCTCATTCATTTGTAAAAAAAAATCAGTGAAATTCTCCCATATTGATTGAAGTTTCGTTTCTCCCAAATAAGAAAAACATGAGTGAATTACTTTCATATTTTCTTTCAGTCCTGGAATCAAGATGTGAGACCAAGAAATTATTTCTGAAGAAAGAAATTTATGAAATAGAATCAACCCAGTGGGAAATAATGGAAAAACTCACAAGACATGATTTTCAGTGCTCTAGTTTCAGAGATGATTGGGATTGTAATATCCAGTTTGAGAAACAGCTTGGCTCTCAGGGGGGACATTTCAATCAATTGGTGTTCACTCATGAAGATCTGCCCACTTTGAGTCAGCATCCATCCTTTACATTACAGCAAATCATTAATAGTAAAAAGAAATTCTGTGCATCTAAAGAATATAGGAAAACCTTTAGACATGGCTCACAATTTGCTACACATGAGATAATTCATACCATTGAGAAGCCCTATGAATGTAAGGAATGTGGAAAGTCCTTTAGACATCCCTCAAGACTCGCTCATCATCAGAAAATTCATACTGGCAAGAAACCCTTTGAATGTAAGGAATGTGGAAAAACATTTATTTGTGGCTCAGACCTTACGCGACATCACAGAATTCACACTGGTGAGAAACCCTATGAATGTAAAGAATGTGGGAAGGCCTTTAGTAGTGGTTCCAACTTCACTCGACATCAGAGAATTCACACGGGTGAGAAGCCTTATGAATGCAAAGAATGCGGGAAGGCCTTTAGTAGTGGCTCAAACTTTACTCAACATCAGAGAATTCATACTGGGGAAAAACCGTATGAATGTAAGGAATGTGGCAATGCCTTTAGTCAGAGCTCACAACTTATTAAACATCAAAGAATCCATACAGGTGAGAAACCTTATGAATGTAAGGAATGTGAAAAGGCTTTTCGTTCTGGCTCAGACCTTACTAGACATCAGAGAATTCATACTGGTGAGAAACCCTATGAATGTAAGATATGTGGGAAGGCTTATTCTCAGAGTTCACAGCTTATTAGTCATCATAGAATTCATACTAGTGAGAAACCCTATGAATATAGAGAATGTGGAAAGAACTTTAATTATAACCCACAACTTATTCAGCATCAAAATTTATACTGGTGATGAGCCAGAATATATGAAATGTGTAGGGAGGCTTTTAATTATGGCTCAAAACAGAATTTATCTTGTTAATAATTTCCCTAGATGGAATAATGTAGAAACATTGTATTTGTGGACTACAGCTTATTCAGCCTGGGAAAAATAATGTTGGAGAAACACCCTATGATAGAATATATTTTGAAAACCTTAACCAAATGCTCACTTCTCTTGACATCAGATAATTCAGTCTGTCGTACTGAAAATGACAGCACTTTTAACACCTTTCTAACCTTCTTAAGCATCAGAGAATTTTTGTAGAAATGTAGTCCTGTGGTTTTCATTTTTTCCTATAATTTGTCTAACTTACATTATTAAAAATACTTTTAGTATCTGGGAGAAATGACCTCTTTATTTTTGAAGATGGCTTATTCTTTTCGTTCTTTATAACATTAAGGCATTCTTACTGTAAAAATGTTCATGAACAACATTTTACTCGATAGAGATCCTTCAATATCTTCATGGTGTTTTATTGTGTTACTGTAATATCACTTATGAAATCCCATTGGTGGATATCATAGTCTCCTCTAGATATTTTGCCATAATACATGCCAAAATACAAGTCCCTGATGGACATTCTCCCTAAACACATATTCATATCGTATCTTTTAACTGCAGAAATAATGTGTGAATATATTTTCCTTATAAAAGATGCAAACATTACAAAAAGGCAAATGTACCCTTTGACCATTGTCTTGTGTCCATTCCCTTCCCAAAGTATAGTCTTTATCAGTTTATTGTTTATTGCTGATCATTTTTCTGTTTATATATACATGCGTGTCTCAGTAAAAATTAGAAAATGGGGGATAATATAATACCTACCTCATAATGCTTTGTGAGGGTTAAATAAATTAAGACCCATAAAGTGCTTAGCATTGTGCCTGACATGATAAATGCATACTCACTGAATGTTAGTCATCATTATTATATTCATTGTCATCAGTATTATTATTTGTAGAAAGGCTTTTTAACTTCTGCAGAACTTAGTCACTATTAGGCAGGGTAACTGACTGAAGAAAGACCCTTTTTGAAGGTAACAAGTTAAGAAAATGTCCCATCATCATGTACTTCCTATTGAACATGGAATAATCCTAGCTGTTGGTGGGGAAAGTACTGTGAATAATGTGTGTGAAGGACTTTATTCCGGAATACTCTTTTTGCCACATTATATACCCAGAAAAAAAGAAAAGAGAACATAAACAAAATATTGGTGCACTGAGGAAAAAAAGTATGAAGAGAGAAAGAGCATCATATTTAAAAAATGGACAGAGATAGAAACATAGTTACAGATTTAAAAGGTTATGTTAAATATAATGCTTTTTTCTGATATGTTTGAAAATTTAAACAAAATGTTTTTTAAGGCAAGTATACATCAATATTGACTCCAAGAAAATTAGGACTCTTAGAAGACTCTCATAAACACAGAGAATGGGAAAAATTAGCATGTGATCAATTAACTATTACTAATGAAGCACCAAATCCAGTTTCTTTCTAAGGAAAACTTTATCAAATGTTCAAGGGACTATTTCAGTTATATAGAAATACACATCTTGGCTCACGCCTGTAATCCCAACACTTTGGGAGGCTTCGGTGTTAGGATTATTTGAGGCCAGGAGTTTGAGACCATCCTGGCCAACATGTTGAAACCCCATTTTTAGTAAAAAATACAAAACTTAGCCAGGTGTGGTGGCACATGCCTGTAATTCCAGCTACTGGGGAGGCTGAGGCAGGAGAATCACTTGAACACAGGAGGCGGAGGTTGCAGTGAGCCAAGATCACACCTCGGCACTTCAGCCTGAGACAGATTGAGACTGTGTCTCAAAAAAAAAAAAAATGTCCACAGTGTAGCTTTGTTTGGGGTTAAGTTAGTGTTTTGAAATGAGCCTTCCCTGTGCTCAAAGCATGCTTAGCAAGCAGCTCCCCACACTGGACAGATCGCATGTGTGGAAGGATGAAGTTTATGTCTATAGAACTGTTATTTTATGCCCCACTTCCTTTTTTCTTAGATCCTGTGTAGATGGATCTCTCTGAATGTTGTGTTACTTTACTGACATAAGGAAGTAAAATATTTCATAATAAATTTGAGAAAGGTAGAGTAAGTAAAAATATCTGCAAATGAGAGAATTAAATGCAGAATTAAAAATATCTGCAAATGAGAGAACTAAAAATGGACTGTTGTAATATTTTGCATTATCAAAATGAGAATTGCCCAATGAATTTTTTTTTTTACTTTCTTTTCTTGTGTGCTTATAAGTCTTTAAAGTTCCTTATCTAAAATTAGAGATAGTGCATTTGCACCCAAATTAATGAAGCAATGCCATTCAAGAAAAAGAAAAGGGGCTGGGTGCGGTGGCTCACGCCTGTAATCCCAGCACTTTGAGAAGCCAAGGCAGGTGGATCACGAGGTCAGGAGTTCAAGACCAGCTTGGCCAATATGGTGAAACCCCATCTCTACTAAAAATACAAAAATTAGCTGGGCGTGGTGGTACATGCCTGTAGTCCCAGCTGCTTGGGAGGCTGAGGCAGGAGAATCTCTTGAACCCGGGAGGCAGAGGTTGCAGTGAGCTGAGATCCTGACTGCACTCCAGCCTGGGCAACAGAGTCTCAAAAAAATCTGTCTCAAAAAAAAAAAAGAAAGAAAAAATGATTATCTTTGCTCTTCTCCATTCCTCATTCCCTTCCCTCTGTCCATTTTCTTCTGAATAATGCTTAAAGGTTGTATATATTACCCATATATATCTTCATGCTAAAACATTAACACACAGTTATTTATTTTATTATGTTTTTACAGAAAAATGGATAACTATACATTTCCCTGAAATTTGCTTTTTTACATTCAGCTGTACATCTTGGATTTTCCTTCAATAGATGATGATCTAACAGTCTTTCTGATGGTTGCAGTATGTTCCACAGTATTCTTTACCAATGCCTTTTCAACCACTTTCCCAATTGTGATATTATGGACTGTTTGCGCTTTTTTGCCATCTAAAAGTAATGCTGCAATAAACACTTTTGTATTCTCTGTTTTATTTCTGTAAAATAAGCTCCCCAAGTCATTTCCAGTGTATTTGTTTTGTTTTGTTTTGAGACAGAGTTTCACTCTTAATTGGCTAGGCTGGAGTGCAATGGAGCGATATTAGCTTACCGCAACCTCCACCTCCCGGGTTCAAGCGATTCTCCTGCCTCAGCCTCCCAAGTAGCTGGCGTTACAGGTATGCGCCACCACACCTGGATAATTTTGTATTTTTAGTAGAGACAGGGTTTTTCCATGTTGGTCAGGCTGGTCTCGAACTCCCGACCTCAGGTGATCCGTCCCCTCGGTCTCCCAAAGTGCTGGCATTATAGCCGTGAGCCACCACGCCCAGCATCATTTCCAGTGTTTTCTATGTTTCCTAGGAAGGTTTTGCTTCTAGAAGATTTCAGAGGGCAAGAGAATAAAGGTACAGAGTGCAGTTTTTCACATGTGATTCTGAGTGTGTATACACAGATTTAATCTTTTAATACATCAGGAATTGATTACACAATATAATGCAGGATGTCAGACTTGTTTCTATCCAGGAATAAAACCAATTATGCCAGAGGTAACTATTATTCACCTTTCTCCTACTGAATTAAAATACTATCAGTTGTATATTAAGTGCTATACATCTATTTCTGTTCTCCATATTCTAGCAATCTTTGACACTTTTCAGTAGCTTTTATTACTTTGAAATAAAGATGTATGTATATATTATTAATATATAGTTTATTATTTGCAAATAAAGACATGTTTCTTCATGAGAATTTTTGACTTACTCATTTTCCAATGAAAAACACATTAGGATTATATTTTGAATTTCTTCAGTTTTAAATACAGAGTATCCTAAATGAATAAACGATTGATGCTGAGTGGATATTCATTAACACATCTTGAGGTTTCTTTTATAACTCCTCATCCTCCTGACCCTCTAATATCTAATAACAACACTATCTGCTGTAATGTCTTACAAAACTTAAAATATGCTAGTAATATCTGAAAATTTATTAGGGTTCTGCTTATAAGGTGATAGATTCTTTTGGGCTCTATAGTTACATAATCTGCAGATAAAGGTGACATACCTATCACAATATTTTTTATATCTATCTTATTTTATTTTATTTTTATTTTGAGATGGAGTCTCCCTCTGTCACCTGGGCTGGAGTACAATGGTGCAATCTCAGCTCACCACGACCTCCGCCTCCCAGGTTCAAGTGATTCTCCTGCCTCAGCCTCCCAAGTAGCTGGGATTACAGGCATGTGCCACCATGCCCGGCTAATTTTATATTTTTAGTAGAGATGGGGTTTCTCCATGTTGGTCAGGCTGGTCCGGAACTCCCAACCTCAGGTGATCTGCCTGCCTTGCCCTCCCAAAATGCTGGGATTACAGGTGTAAGCCACCACGCGCGGCCCAATAACAGAAACTTTTTTTTTTTTTTTTTTTTTTGAGACGGAGTCTCGCTCTGTCGCCCAGGCTGGAGTGCAGTGGCCGGATCTCAGCTCACTGCAAGCCCCGCCTCCCGGGTTTACGCCATTCTCCTGCCTCAGCCTCCCGAGTAGCTGGGACTACAGGCGCCCACCACCTCGCCCAGCTAGTTTTTTGTATTTTTTAGTAGAGACGGGGTTTCACCGTGTTAGCCAGGATGGTCTCGATCTCCTGACCTCGTGATTCGCCCGTCTCAGCCTCCCAAAGTGCTGGGATTACAGGCTTGAGCCACCGCGCCCGGCCAATAACAGAAACTTTAAGACAAAATGCATTATGAGACATGTCTTGCTTCAAGATCCTATAATGATCTTGTCTGAGGTAGTTACCTTGCAAGGGTGTTACTGTTTTTCTTGCTCCCCCTATAACGTCCAGACCATAAAATGTAATAAAAACCTCAGCATTCTCTCAATGACCAATTATGAAATCAAAACTACATATCAAAAATATTGCCAGATTTTGAAACTTTATCTAAAAATAATGTAGCGAATAGATGAAGGAGCACCTTCACCAGAGACACAACAGTGATTCCAATAAAATGGAAAGTGAGAATATAATCCAGCTATTTGGTGCTCCTTGTGACCATAGGCAACAGACCAAAGTTTGGGGTGGGAGAGGTAAGGGGGAGTAGGTTGGTGTTTGCTGGGCTGATTGATCCTGGCTCTCAAGCGAGAAATAGGTTTGAACCTTCTAAATGTAACATGGATAGAATGCAAAGATTCCCCTGGGTCAACTCCTACCTCTACCTTTTACAATAGTAAAAGTTAATAGAAAACTATAGTAACTAACAATAATTCAGATCCTATGAAAGAAGATTTGAGTCACTAAAAACTTCCAATCACAGCTGGGTGTGGTGGCTGGCTAATGCCTGTAGTCCCAGCTTTTGGGAGGCCAAGGCAAGAGGATCACAAGCCCAGGAGTTCAAGACCAGCCTGGGCAACATAGTGACACATTGGTGATACAAAACATAAAAAAAAATTAACTGGACATTGCAGCACGTGCCTGTAGTGCCAGCCATTCGCAGGGACTGAGGTAGGAGGATGGCTTGAGCCCAAGACATCAAGGCCGCAGTGACCCATGATGGTGCCACTGCACTCCAGCCTGGGCAACAGAGCTAAAAGCCTGTCTGAAAAACTTTAAAAAAAAAAAAAAAAGAAGAAGAAGAAGAAAGAGAGAGAGACAAAGGAAAGAAGGAAAGAAAGAAGGAAGGAAGGAAAGAGAGAAAGAAAACAAAGGCAGGCCAGGCGCGGTGGCTCACGCCTGTAATCCCAGCACTTTGGGAGGCCGAGGCAGGAGGATCACAGGTCAGCAGTTCGAGACCAGCCTGGCCAACATGGCGAAACCCCATCTCTACTAAAAATAACAAAAATTAGCCAGGCATGGTGGTGGGTACCTGTAATCCCAGTACTCGGGAGGCTGAAGTAGGAGAATCGCTTGAAACCAGAAAGCGGAGGTTGCAGTGAGCCGAGATGTGCCACTGCACTCCAGCCTGGGCAAAAAAGCAAAACTCCATCTCAAAAAAAAAAAAAAAGAAAGAAATTGTCCTCATTTTTCAGTTAACGAGATTGCTCCAAACAAAAGACATTTTCCCATTTTTACCTTCAGTTTCTCTTAAGCACTTGTTGTGTTTATTCTTTGTGGTGGTCCTTTTAGTTTAGTTTTCATTTCTGAAATGATTCTTTTATTTTGAATTATTTTCTGAATTATTACCTCATTTCCCACATTTTCTGATTCTAATTGATTTTGTTCTTTCATGTCTTGTATCATTTTGTTCATGAAATTTTAGCTCAATTTGAAATAGCAAGTTCCAGTTCTGATCTCCTGTGGGCATGGCTTTGGATATGCTTTTATTATCTGGAGGAATGTTATTGTGTTCCTTATTCTCTCTCTCCCTTTTAAATTGTAAGTAACTCTTAGAGAATTCATGCTTGATACTTTTCTGTTGCTTTTTAAAATTATTTATTTATTTATTTATTTGCTTGTTTGTTTATTGAGATGGAGTCTCGCTCTGTCGCCCAGGCTGGAGTGCAGTGGCACGATCTTGGCTTACTGCAACCTCCACCTCCCGGGTTCAAGCCATTCTTCTGCCTCAGCCTCCCAAGTAGCTGGGACTACAGGTGTGCACCACCATACCTGGCTAATTTAGTAGAGACGGGGTTTCACCATGTTGGCCAGGCTGCTCGAACTCCAGACCTCATGATCCGCCTACCTCTGTGTCCCAAAGTGCTGGGATTCCATTTAATTTTATTGTTTAAGACAGAGTCTCGCTCTGTCACCCAGGCTAGAGTGCAGTGGTAGGAGCTCAGCTCATTGCAACCTCCACCTCCCAGGCTCAAATGATCCTCCTGCCCCAGCCTTCCTCTTTTTTTTTTTTTGAGACGGAGTCTTGCTCTGTCACCCAGGCTGGAGTGCAGTGGCGCAATCTCAGCTCACTGCAACCTCCGCCTCCCTGGTTCACACCATTCTCCTGCCTCAGCCTCCCGAGTAGCTGGGACTACAGGCGTCCACTACCACGCCCGGCTAATTTTTTTGTATTTTTAGTAGAGACAGGGTTTCATTGTGTTAGCCAGGATGGTCTTGATCTCCTGACCTCATTATCCACCCGCCTCAGCCTCCCAAAGTGCTGGGATTACAGGCGTGAGCCACCGCGCCTGACCATGGCTGCATTCTTTTGAGTTTCTGATGAGCCTCTCCAAAGACGCAATCAGATATGCATTTATCTCAGTGAGCAGAGGAATGACTTTGAATAGAAGTCATTCAGGTTTGTCCCAAGCAGTTCCCAGCTTGACTTTTCTCTTTACCTTAGTGATTTTGGGGGCCCAAGATGTGTTCCTTTCACAACCACAATCATGATATACAGAACTTCCATCAACTCAGAAAGTTCCCTCATGTCCTTTTCTTTTTTGAGACAGAGTCTCGCTGTGTTGCTCAGGCTGGCGTGCACTGGCGTGATCTCGTCTCACTGCACCTTCTCTCCCCACCTCCAGAGTAGCTGAGACTACAGTGCCACTGCACCTGCCTAATTTTTGTGTTTTTAGTAGAGACAGCGTTTCACCATGTTGGCCAGGCTCCTCTCGAACTCCTGACCACAAGAGATCCGCCCACCTCGGGTTCCCAAAGTGCTGGGATTACAGGTGTAAACCACCACATCCAGCCCCTCATGTTGTCCAGGCTGGAGTGCAGAGGCACAATCTTGGCTCAATGCAACCTCCACCTCCCAGGTTCAAGCAATTCTCCTGCCTCAGCCTGCCAAGTAGCTGGGATTACAGGCATGCACAATCACACCCAGCTAATTTTGTATTTTTAGTAGACATGGGGTTTCTCTATGTTGGCCAGGCTGGTCCGTGATCCGCCTGCCTCAGCCTCCCAAAGTGCTGGGATTACAGGCATGAGCCACGGCACCTGACCACTCATGCACTTTTGCAGTCCATCTCCTCCCCAACCCCTACCCCAGCCCCTGAGGGCCGCTGTTCTGCTTCCTGTCCACAATAGTTGTACTTCTTCTAGAATTTCATATAAATAGAATCATACAGTATGTGATCTTTTATGTAAAGCTTCTTGTATTTAACATAGTGCTTTTGAGATTCATTCATGTTGTTGCATGTGTCAGTAAATTATTCTTTGTTTTCTGAGTAATATTGCATTGTGTGGACATCTTCCAATTTGTTTATCTGTTTACCAGTTGATAGAGAATGGGTAGCATCCAGAGTTTGGCAGTGTGAATAAAGCTACTATGAACATTCAAGGGCAAATATATATATATATATATTTTTTGAGATAGAGTCTCGCTCTGTCGCCCAGGCTGGAGTGCAGTGGCGAGATGTCGGCTCACTGCAACCTCTGCCTCCCGGGTTCAGGCGTTTCTGCTGCCCCAGCCTGCTGAGTAGCTGGGATTACAGGCGTGAGGCATCACGCTTACCTGATTTTTGTATTTTTAGTAGAGACGGGGTTTTACCATGTTGGTCAGACTGGTCTCAAACTCCTGACCTTGTGATCTGCCCACTCAGCCTCCCAAAGTGTTGGGATTACAGGCATGAGCCACCACGTACGGCCAATAATGTTTTTTTTTTTTTTTAAAGGAAAATAAGTGCTAGTGAGAATGTAGCGAAATTGGAACTATCATACATTGTTTATGGAAATGTAAATGGTGTAGCTGCTGTGGAAAAAAGTTTGGGGGTTACTCAATAAACTGAACATAAATTACTGTATGACTCAGGAATTCCATATATATATATGTGCTTTGTGTGTGTGTGTGTGCGTGTGTGTATATATATATACATGCTA